GGAAGATCTGTCTTGAGCTTATTGAAAAAGGGCTTCCACGGCTCATTCTGGTTCGCGCTCTCTACAACTTCAGGGGACTCATGATCTCGTTTGGCCTTCTTGTTGGGTGGGCCCTCCACATGATCTTCTACATGGTACACTGGTCTTTCTATTGGGGCCCCTTTACCCTTCATTATCCCCTTAACGATAGCTTTGGCAAATTGTCTAGGATAACGGCTGGCAAACTGAGAGAGACGAATGTTCTGATTTCGCCATTGGCAGTTTCCGGCGATTTGTGCATGTACATGTTCTCCATGGCATAGCCGACTGTCTAGGGTTTCTAACATGTCTCTTGAGGTGGTCTGTATCCTAGTTTTCTTCTGCATGGGATCCTGGCTTTCCGGATGTTTGAGGCCAAACTGACATTGATCCAGCTTAGCAGGAAAGGAAATACGCAGGAATTCTTCCAACTCTCGCTGATTCCACATGCCGGATGTCCAGGGATTCTCTAAATGAGTGTGACGACCCTCGGATGCTTGAATCTTCGCAAGAAGATTACACAGTTTCAAGTGGACTCTGGAATCCTGCTGGACTTGCCAAACACGTCGGAATCCTTGCATACTACGGTAGGAGTTGAATCGGTTCCAGGCAGACCACGGAGCACACTCTGGAGACAGCCACAAGTTCTTGGGACGATACAACAAAACATGCATGATCAAACTGGTGCGCCCTTCCGGAGTGCTCAGATCTCCATCTTCCTTGGTGAACCTTTTTGCTTTCAAACCGCAGGCTGTTGCAACTTCAGTAAGCTGGCTATCGGGATATGCGTAAACCTCTAAGATGTCCAACTGGGGGCAATTGTTGTTACCTTTCTTAATAAGTTTATGAACATCCTTCAACCACATGGCTTCTTCATGAGACATGACAACTTCTTCGTGTTTTGCATGATAAACTGGGCTGCCACGAATTGTCTGCCAACATTCTACCTCTGGCCGGAGTTCAGAGCTGCAGACTCCAGGCGCTGGCGAGTGATGGAGTAGTTTCCGAAGTCCTCCGCATCCTCGGTCATGGAGTCCTTTCGTGCCAGCAGCCACTTCACATACCCCTGATCGTTGTTGTAGGTCCACTCGAATGTCTTGCCCTGGTGCTTGCGACCCCAGGACACTTGCTTTCGACCCCAACTTTCCAAAGCGTGGCTTGTGAGTGCGACTTGATTGTTTCCTGAAGGCATTGGGACTGCAGGACTGGTTGGTGCCCTTGATGTCTTGAGTGGACCAAGAGCTGCTGGAGGGCTGTGAGCCACTGGCATCCCCGCAATCTTCATGTTCATCGCTGGCACTCTGGTCGATGGCATCTGTTGGGAAGTACTTGGGGCCACTCCAGCACTTGCTGGTTGACTGAACTCTTCCTCCATCTCGGCCATCTCCCATAGATCCGAGCCGATGGTGGGCTCCAGGTTTGCCAACATAGGTCCACTGGATCTCACTTGAGGGCCCAGGCATTGTTGTTGGATCAGATCGCCCAGCTCGGTAATCTTCATTCGTTGACCCTTCACCTCGTTGATCAGCTGTTGGATTGGAGTCATGTCCTGCTCCGGCATCTCCTCGTTGGGCTGCAGGGCTTTCGTGAGAGTGAACAACATGTAGAAGAGCACCCTCAAGCTCTCCATCACTTCCTCTGACAACACTCTCAAACCCTCCAGAACTTCCTGACGCGATGGCATCTTTGAAATGCAACGGTGGATCAAGACCTGGCGGGGCGATCAGTTGATGGCTTGAGGCGACAAAAGCTGCTGATGCGGTTAATGGTTTGTCTGGGCTCCTGCACAAATCAAACATGTCAATTACAAAAAGGCCATTGGTGTTTTCTCTCAAAGGCAGTGAACGATTCAGCTTCTTCAGATAACATGTGTTGTTTTCCAAATCGATGCTGGCTCCAAGACTTTTCATGGCTTTGATTGACAAAAGAAATGGCGTGGCTTTGGGAACCACTTCAACAAGCAGCCAAATGCGCTGACGACCATGCTCCAAAGGGATTTGTAACTGCTTAAAGCTGTATTCTACCTGATTATTTCCAAACCTGAATCCGATTTGACTGGGTACTTCTCGGATTTGCTCTCTGATGCTGGGCGGCAGTTTTCTCAGGACGGATGGCACATGCTCGATCCCTATGACGCTTCTGCTGGCACCGGTGTCCAAAATGGCCATTCCGGTGGTCTGTGCACATGGTCTGGTTGACCGACTGGCTAAGCATTCAGCCTCTGGTTGTGAGGTCTTCTGGCAAAGGCTCTTGTTCGGCCGCATGTTGGCAGGCTCAGGCATCTTATAGTTATCCCCACTTATCTTACCCTTATACCCCAACTTATATTTAGGGAGACGTGATTCCAGGAAACGGGTGGCATGGTGACGGGCATGACTTGGGATTCGGATGCTTTCGGATGCTTTCGGGAGACTATGTACAAAACAACACACCTCAGTGATTGGATCTCGGGCCTCTTCCACGTAGTTGGTCTCAAAGATCACCTGCGGAAGTTCTTCGTGAGAAAGGTCTCCATCCACTGCATCCACTATGTTGGCCTGTTCACGAACACCTTCTTTTTTCTGTGGGCACTCTGCTTTCCAATGGCCCAGGGCCCCACACAATTTACAATGTGTGCGGCTGATCCTGGCCAGCAACTCATCCTTTCCACCTTTCTGACCCCCCTTTCGTCCGCCACGACCATAGGAGAAGTCTCGGCCAAAACCTTTTCCCTTAGACTTTGAAGGCCAGAATCCACGTCCACGCCTGCGATCATTGATCCGTTGACGTGCCTCCTGATAAGAGACTAATGCCGTCTGAAGGTCCGGCACATCCTGGAACATGTCTTCCAGATCACGCTCGAATTGTTGCACCATAAGAGCATCTTCGTCTCCTTGACCTGCTAGATAGTCCACAGTCTCGGCCGTGAGCGCTTCATCTTCTTCCGCACTCACATGGAAAGTACTCTGAGGCATTGGCTCAACATCGTGTTGGTTGGATGTCTCATCAGTGTCCACATAGTTGGTAGGGTAGATCTTCTTTTTGCCTTCTCCTGCTCCAAAGAGAACCTTGGTGGACAAAGTTCTCATTGCCTGTTCGACTCCCTTGATCTTGATCTCTCCATTGGTCATTGCTAAGACCCTCTTCTTGTCTTCATTGCTGAGAGCTGACTGCCTCAACATCACGAACGCCTGCATATCCTTCACAGTCACTTGGCCACCTAGGTCATCGAAAGCTGCATTCAAACGCAGTGAGAAGCTGTGGGTGGCCTCATCGCTTTTCTGGGTGATTCGATAGGGAGCTTTCTCGAAGAGCTCAAAGGTTTTCAGTTCACTGGTTTCCTCCCAGGTTGAGAGGGCTTCTAAAAGGTAGTTGACGCCGTTGGCACCATCTAGAAGCTTGCTTGGGTCCAGATTGCGCACTTGGCTGCAAGCTGTTCCCTTGCACATCATCGCCAATTTTGGCGCCAGATTTGGTCGATCCTTCTCTGGGAAAACTCCGTGCAGGAAACGACATTTTTGAGTATATTCACGTATGTCATCATTGCTAGGATCAAAGCTAGGCAGCTGTCCCCAGAGCCCGGTCGCCTTGTCCTCAATCGTGGCTGAACTCGCGGACATTGAACACCAAGTCCTCAAAGTTCAGATGGACCCTCAAGTCCGGCTTTGCGCGCCTGGCAGCGCGAGCTCGCAAGCTCCGCTACCAGTGTGAGAGGATCCAACTCCCTCTCAGCACTGGCAGCTACCACAAAAGTCCTTGTCCCCAAGGTGATCAACAAAGAAAGGAATCCAAAATGATGTAGAGGTTGTCCACAACCTAATAGTCCAAACCAAAGTGGGTTAAGCACCGATCCCACACCAATTGCGGCCCACGCGCAAGTCTTTTCCCCTGAGTCCTGATGGTTGGCCCTTGAGCCAAGTTCGGCACGAAGATCGTGAACGTTTGTTCACTGCATCTGATAACCCCCGCAGACATGGATAATCGAATGGTCACCTAATGCAGTTTCCTGGAAATCACATATATATATATATTGGTAGCACCCAATCACCGCGCGAACCCTGTCGCGCCCATCCTTTTGTTCCCTTGTGGCCGTAAATGTGCCTGCAGTTGACCCACGGATATGGACATGATGCGGATGGCACTGCATCAACACTGGTATATACTCTCAACTGCTATGTCTATCTCTCATCCCAAACGGCGCGGAATGTCCGTGCCGGGAATCATCACCAACTGTTTGTCCTCCATGTTGCCAGTCACACTGACATCACCCACTTGCAAATACTTCACAAGATCCTGCAGCTGTGGTGAACCATTGGAAATGCGCGAGGACAACCAGGATTTGTAACGACGATCCTCAGGGTCTGTGGAGAGATGCAAGGACATGTAGGTGCGCTTGTTCATGAATTTTCCGAAGCTCACTTTGGTGCGCCCCCAAACTTCAAGGCTCGCCACTCCGGTGGGCAACTGAACCACTGGTGCCGGATCATTTCCTGCAAACAACATCGGTCCAGAGGTTGCCGCAGTCGGCAAAGGAGCATAAGACAACTGACTCGGAGATGGCATTGGCTTTGTTGGGGACGAGGTCAAAACACCACTGGCCTCGTCATCGCTACGCTGGCGCTTGGCTGCATCACTCATATTGCCCTCCAGATTGCGCCCTGACACCACGGACCAATCGGTTTCCTGCTCCACAAGTTCGCAAAGGGCCTTCAAGACTCCACAACCATGAGCCTTGTGCATCAATCGGAGACATTCTTTGTGATCTTCATCCGTCCAGTCAGACATCTTCATCGATGACGCTGGGAGATGGGCCATGATAATCACAACGGCAGCAATGAAAACAACGAATCAAAACATAGGGTTGGCACCTAATCGGTTTGAGAATGGCTAACAGTATGTTGCAGTGGCACGTCCACTCTTTCAGGCACCTACCACATGTCAACTTCATGCAAGAACGGCTCATTCCCCAAGTATTATTTACCCCAATACTTATCTTACCCTTTTTACTGATTTATCAGTGATACTAAATGGGCACTAAACTTGGCACGTCTTTCAGCGACCAGTTTTCGGCGGTTTCTCTCATTGGCCCTCCATTCCAGTACATCTTCTTCAGGACTGATTTGATATTTTCCGGATCTCATGCATGCACGAAGGAGATCTAAGGCATCTTCTGCTTCTTTTGTCATGCCATCTGCCAACATTCGGTCAGTAGGAATCCATCGTACTGACGCAGACATTCTACGCACACTTTCTCGGATGATCACAATATCTATGGACGTTCGTCTGTCATCCAGTGAGGGTGCAGAAGGAGATTTCAAGTGATCAAACAAGGACTTACAATCTGTTACCAATGTGCATGGAGGTCTGCGAGGAACATCCCACAAGGACTGTGCACAGCAGGGTCCATCTCGAATTTCGGCTAACAGCAGAGACAGCCCTTCACACATGCTAGCAGCGCCGGACATTGATTGCGCTTCAGCACTCAGGGTCGAGTTGACAACTCGGGGAAGTCTGTGGCTCTTCCAGTAGGCTGGTGACCAATCACATGTAAAACCTTTTTCCAAGTCTTGGTGAGTGAATCCCAACACATAACCGGCCTGAGTAGCTCCACCCTTGGCATTGGCATATGCTGCATCGGAATGACAAACTATGGCAAGTTCTGCCATCGGAACTGGCCTGTACACTATGCTGAGGTCAGCATGCTGCTTGGCCCGTCTGATCGCATTGTTGGCGGCCAACGCATCTCCCACTGTGGGTTTAGGAAAAGATTGTTGAGAAAATGATACTTGAGTGGATAAATCAGGACGTGATTGTGAGGAAATCCAGTTCAAACTACCATTAATTGCCCTCAAACAGCTAATCTCCTTTTCATCCAGGGGAGCGTCACGGTTGACACAACGGCTGCGACTCAGGTGCAAAGGACGCAGATTGTTTGCAAACTTGGCTTGACTCAGGGTGATTGCAAACGTCTTGCTACACTGGGTGTATCTGGCTCCACAAAAGTCGCCATCGAGGGTCCGCCATTTGCGAAACTCGAATTGTTCTTTCAGCTGTTTCATCGCAGAGTCATAAACAACACCTTCACCACCAGTAGCACAATCGTCCACATGTACACCATAGATTCCAACCAGTTTCCCGCCTTGATCTCGCAGTTGATACAGACAGGCATCAAAACGGCTCACTTTGAAACCGACTGAGATCAGAACCTTGTGCAGTTTTTGTTGCCATGCTGACGGACTATCGTTCAAACCATAGACATGACCCGTTACTTCAATCAAGGAGTCCGGCCGGACACCTGGGATGCCACCTGGTGGCAAACGTGCATACAAAGGCCTATATCTCTCTGCCAGCGGTCCAGCAGCTAAGAAGGCTCCCTTGATATCCCCAAGTGCTAGTGTCCAACGGTTAGATGCAATTGTCTGAAACAACATGCTTCGACTTACCTGGGAAATTGTCGGGCTTTGCAAGGCGCCTTCAAGAGCTTTGGCCGACAGATCAGGATCGCGGTGTCCCAAAAGGCACCATCTGGCTTTGACTCGTGTGGGAGAGTCTTCTTCTTGCTTGAGTGTCACCACGTACCTACTATCCATGATCCTATGCGCAAGCTTTTGGCGGACAGCTTGTGCTTCTTCGCCCAGAACTAGCCTACCAGCATGTTTCCCTTCAATCACGTGCCATTCTGCTAGTTTTGCTTCATCAATCTTTTTCTGCTGTTCCGGTTCTTGATTGACATGAGGAATTTTTTTGGACCCTCTCTTCTGGTAGTATGAGGCCAACATCACCTCAAAGGGGACCCCAGCATGATACATGTCAATCAACTCCTTTTTGTCGGACCATGACAAACCATGTTTGATGGGGCAACACGCAAGTGCTTCTGACGATCCCTCAACATGGGAGGCAGATGCAGTGGCATCAACACGAGGAACGTGGGCTGGACCCTGACCTTCCACTTCATCAGGGCTTAGTGCTGGTTCCTCTCGGTGAGTGAGAGGCGGCATCTGTTGCGGTGGAATCATCTTGGATGACTCGTTCCATGATCTGAGGCATGATTTCATCCATCATCTCTGCAAAATCCTCATTGCGCATGGGACCAGGTCTATAATAGGCTTGGGGGCCATTTTTACCACTAACCCTCCTACGTACTGGGCCATATGATGATGATTCAGCAGGACTCTTATTTATGGTAGAGGAGGCTGAAGTGGGCATGTCATCATCAAACACACTAGTAGGATTTGGGTACTGGGGCCTAGCTTGAGAAGGAGTTTCTGGCATGTCACTCTCAACAGCTAAGCGATCACCCAAAGACTTGGCGGCTTCACCCTCCGCTGGAGGAGGTGATGGCGAGGTTGCCGAAGGGCTCTCCGGTGCCTCTGTGGGGTAATCCAATGGAACCAAATCAACATACTGCTTACTGGTAATTTGACCTGTTTCAAAGGCATCCTTCAACCCCAACATTTCGGCATGAGGTGCACGAATCAGTTGACGTTCTTCTGACGTCGCTGCACGAATTTGTTCTGGAGCGCATCGCAAGACCTGTCTCTTGTGAACAACAACATGGTTCCTACCTACCTTGCCTAGTACTAGGCCCGGCCCATGCCATCGGCCTTGATTATCCAAAGTACCTTTTTCCCACTTCTGAGATCTCCAGTAGGCTACCAAATCCCCAGGCTTAGGTTCATTTTGATGACGTGGTCTGGCGGACAAGGCTAAGCGCAGTGCTTTGCTGTCTTGCATCTCCATCACAGCCTTTCGGGCAGACTGTCGAACCGCAACTTTCCTGGCCACCTCAGCTTCATATAAAGGAGCAGTGGCAGGAATGACTTCACAGGGCTCGTCCAACAGATTCTCGGGAATCTTGGGATTGCGGCCAAAAATGAACTGAGCAGGGGTCATGCCATAAACTTGAATCAGCTCATTCTTACAGTGGGCTGCATGGACACATTCCAACCATGATTCCTTGCTGTTTGGTGACATGTCGTGCATGATTCGTTCCAACACCTGATTGAACCAACCTCCATGAACCTCTACTTTACCAAGCTGGTAGTGAGCATCGGCAGCAGTGATATGGAAAATTGACCCTGCCAATTCATTCGGCACAGTCATGGCTTCAGAAATGTTGACCTTGGCCGGGTCACACATGATTTCATCAGGCCGTCCAGCCCAGCTGATCCAACGTTCTTGAACGATACGGCGGATGCCATCTGAGGTCACACGTTCAAAAATTGGAACAACAACTTGAAAGCTACTCGCATAGTCAATCATGTTGAGAGCTGGGACTTTTTGATTGGTATTCCATCCTGTTACGTACTTGATGTCTATGCCCAATCTCTGGTTGAACGTGGTCACACGTTCTGGCTGCGCCGGAAGCGCTGGAGTCGGTTTTGCACGTGATTGGCACTGCGGGCATGCATGATCTCGGGCGAGATCCTGTGCAGCTTGGCTGGCGCCACCATGTTTTAACAACCGAACCATATGCTGATTTCCAGGGTGACCTAAGTTCTCATGCAACTTGTGAATGCTGGTTTTCATCTTGGACAAGGATTCCTCATTCAACTCTTTGACACGAGCAGCAACCAGACACTCCGTTGGGCTGTGGCAGGCAACACTCAAAACTGGATTGCATCGCAAATTGGGTGCACAGTCCATCACGGCTCGCACAAAGGCATCAGTGTATTGGCCAGCAAACCTGCTCACACTTCCAACCTCAGGGTGTGAACCGGCGACAACATGGTGATGGACATGATCGGGATGATGCTTTCCCGGGCATTTCTTCCCTAGTGACTTCATGTTACCATGAGACACAAGTAACTTGGTACCCTTGCGAATGCGAAGACCCTTGGGAATGCGGAGATTGAAACAGCACATGTCGCACTCCACAACGTACATCTTGGACATCAGTCTCTGAACTTTCGGCAGCTTCCATGCCATTGACCCTTTTGGATGTTCAAACAAAACACGGTTTCCGGATGCCAGCTGTAGCTCTATCAGCTCACAACAGAAATTGATGAACAGCATGGTTAATCGTTGTTTTTCGGCAACATCCTCAGCTGACATGAACATGCGGTTCAGGTTGAACCATCCTCCCGCCCATGTGCATGGCGGACATAGGATCAGCAGTTCAGGAGGCGTTTCTCTTATCAACCTTTTCATGTGCTCCCTATGCTCAGGTTTTCGAAAATCCCATCCAGTCAGTAAATCTGCAGACAAACATTTGACACCCCGAACAGCGGCTTGTTTGGCAAATCTGGGAGGTGAGAAAACTTCGACAACATCAAAAGGCTCAGGCTGATTACCCTTATTCCCAATATGCTTAAAATGCTGAGACACTTGGCGGGCTTGCTTGAGAGTCCATTGATTCAGCATCACTTCGTGCTCGGTACCTGACGGCAGCACAGCATGGGGAGCCAACTGAAAAACGGTTTCACCTATCCAGTATTTCCCGGTGGGCACAGGGATATGTTCATGAGCAACATGTGGGTCAGCCCAGTGGTCATGCACAGTTTGAGGTGCTTCATTGCTATCAGCAACATGCCAGTGAGTAGTCCTACAGCTACTAAGGTCTTCAGGCAAAACAGGGCAGTGAGTCTGGCATGGTGTGAAACGTTCAGATCTTGCATGCAAGTGGATCCGGGCTATCTCTCTGGCAGCATGTCTGATCACCCAGTAGTCTTTTGACTTACCCTTTTTACCCACTATGGTTACCCCATTATTCCTATTACCCCCACATTCATTACCACTATCCCCCTTGGGCACTGGGCATGGCTCGTGGTTCACCGACTTCTGGGTCGGGGCATCAGGTTCATGGGCATCGATGGGCAAGGCTTCACTGGTTACATCTCCTACGGTCAGACTCTCTCGAGCCACCGGCGGGCTTTCAACTGGTTGGAGTTTCTGTGGGAACTCCGTCACGGGAATCATGTATTGCCCCGCAGCATTGACTTGCATTGGAAGTCGGGTGCTTCCATTGAACAAACGCAGCTCGTCACAAGAAAAATCCATCTCTGCAGACAACCTTTTCATGGCAGGTCGGGAGAGAAGCAGTGATCCATCCAGCTGCACACACAAAGTGTTCAGTATCGACTGCTTGAACGCAGCCGGCTGCATGGGTGCTACCGGAGCTGGCAGCAGGCTTGGGCACATTGTTTCGGGGAGCCTTGCACTCTTTGGCCCAGTGTCCAATTTTCTTGGATCGGTGACACCGGGTTCTTTTCTTGAGCTCCTCGACCTCAATGCGATACGTCTTACGCGTATCGGCTTCTTTGTGAAACTGTCGCGCCTGCCTCAACTTGTTCAGCTCCTGACGCTTCTCACGCCAACTAACAGCTAAGATGTCAGCGATCTCATGTTCTTCATACGTATCATCCTGATCTGCAGTGTCAATTTCATTTCCATACTCCGTCAGGAACAGCTCAACGTCCTGGAAGTCCACCTCGGCCTGGTTCAGGGGAGGCTCCATGTCATCTTCCAGAATGGCCCTTGGTTCTACCAAGTGAGCACCTGCTACAGACTTTCGCCGGGACACAGTGAAATCGGGGTAACAAGACCTCATCGATTGAGCCATTGTATCAAATTTCAGTTCTCCTTGTGTCCTGGCCAGCACTACAGCACGCTGTTCCTCATTCATGCCACTGCATTGGAGCAAGATCCATCCCCGGGCCTCATCAGGAAAGGATACACCAGTTTTCCTCTTGCATCGGTCAAAGCACTCACGGGCTCTGCCGCACCACTGGCGAACTGTTTCGCCATCCTTGGCTTTCAGGCCAAAGATCTCAGAGATGTGTTCGCCCATCTCATCACTGCGTTCCTTCTGAGGCCATCGCTCATCTAACAGCTGGAAAATCACTTCGTCTCCACCTTCCTTCTGATAATCGACAGGTGTTCCACCACCTCCAACGCCCTTCCCTGGAGGAGCGTCCATACAAAGCTGCCCCTTACACTTTTGGGGAGCTTCTCCATCACATTCATCTTGTTGATGACCCATTGTTTCCACCGTTTGTACTTACGGTGGTCCACATCATCGCCCCCAGAAAAATATTTCAAGGAGGCGCCGATTTCCGCCATGGCACCTTCCTAGGAGCCGCGGGAGCCAGGATTAACCTGGCTCCGCTACCAATATTGGTAGCACCCAATCACCGCGCGAACCCTGTCGCGCCCATCCTGTTGTTCCCTTGTGGCCGTAAATGTGCCTGCAGTTGACCCATGGATATGGACATGATGCGGATGGCACTGCATCAACATATATATATATATATATATGTAGAGCGAGGGAAAGAGAGAGGGGGATTTCATCTGAACTAGGTAAGAATCGTCATTGCCGTCGTTGTCCTTGTTGTCGTCGTCTTCGTCGTCGTCGGCGGCGGCGTCGTCGTCGTCGTTGTTATTGTTGTTATAGTTGTTGCTGCTTGGTCCTGTTGTCGTTGTCGTTGTTATCTTTGTAGTTGGTACTTTTTGCAAACCCACCAAAATCGTCAAACCGACGGTTTTTGCAAACCCCCAAAAAGCGTCAAATAGGCGGTGGTTTCGCGATTTTTCACGTTCTCGGAACAAACAAACACCGTAAATACCGATGTTTTTGGCTCCGCGCCAACGCAAAACCACGGTATTTACGAGGTTTTTGAGCCCCTGCTAGCAAAAATCACGGTATTTACAGTGTTTTGTGGCCCGGGCCTAGCAAAAACACTGGTATTTACGCAGTTTCCAGCATGTTGTCAGAAGCTTTTTTTAGATGCCAAAGGCACAAAGACATTGTAAATTACAGGATTTTTACGCGTGGACAATACCAAAAAATATATGAAAAATTGACAAAAAATCGACCAAAAACGCCCAACAAGGACCTTCAAAACGCATCTTCGAATTTTACCCTCTTTTTTTCCACCCCGAACCCCGAAAAACGTGAAAACCCCAGCACCCTGAAGGATTTTCGAAAAGGTTGGCGGCATCGGCGCGCCCCCGGGTAGCTAAAGCTATGCGCTTAGCAACACCACCAAACGGCGAGGCATCGCCGGATTTAAGCGCTTACGCGCGACAGCCGGCCAGGGGCCCATGTTGAGGTGATATGGGTCGAGCTGGGAGCAAGATCTTAAGGCTATGTTGCGGCTATGTTGGTCCATCTTGGGGCTATGTTGGCCCACCTTGGCGCTATGTTGGCCCGTCTTGGGCCTAGGTTGGCCGATCTTGAAGCCTATGTTGACCCATGTTGAGCCAAAAGATCCGAAAAATGGGAACAGCAAAAAAACACTGTAAAACGCAGGATATTTTGATGGTCGGCGGCCTATCTTGGGGCTATGTTGGCCCATCTTGGGGCTATGTTGGCCTATCTTGAGGGCAATGTGGGCCCATCTTGGGGCCATGTTGGCCCATCTTGGGGCTATGTTGGCCCATCTTGGGGCTAGGTTGGCCCATCTTGGGGATATCTTGGCCCATCTTGGGGGCTATGTTGGCCCCTCTTGAGGCTATGTTGACCCATCTTGAGGCCTATGTTGGCCCATGTTCACCCAGCTCGAGCCACAAGATCCGAAAAAGTGCAAAAAATGGGAAGAGCACAAGACACCGCAAAACGCGGGGGTTTTTGGCGACACGTAGAGGTCGGCGGCAGGGGCGGCGGCCCCTCTCTCCTACGGAGAGGAGAGAAACGCCTACGGCAAGGACACGGCCAGGGGGCCCCTGGCCGGATTTAAGCGCTACGCGCGACAGCCGGCCAGGGGCCCAACTATGTTGGCCCATCTTGTGGCTATGCTGGCCTATGTTGGCCTATGTTGGCCTATCTTGCGGGCAAGGTGGGCCCAGCTTGGGGCTATGTTGGCTTATCTTGAAGGCTATGTGGGCCGATCGTGAGGCCTATGTCAGCGGATCTTGAGGCCTATGTTGGCCCATGTTGACCCATGTTGAGCCACAAGATCCGAAAAATGGGAAAAAAAGGGAAGAGCACAAAACACCGTAAAACGCGGGGGTTTTTGGCGACACGTAGAGGTCGGCGGCAGGGGCGGCGGCCCCTCTCTCCTACGGAGAGGAGAGAAACGCCTACGGCAAGGACACGGCCAGGGGGCCCCTGGCTGGATTTAAGCGCTTACGCGCGACAGCCGGCCAGGGGCCCATGTTGAGGTGATATGGGTCTAGCTGGGAGCAAGATCTTAAGGCTATGTTGCCTGATCTTGAGGCTATGTTGGTCCATCTTGGGGCTATGTTGGCCCACCTTGGCACTATGTTGGCCTGTCTTGGGGCCTAGGTGGGCCGATCGTGAGGCCTATGTTGACCCATGTTGAGCCACAAGATCCGAAAAATGGGAACAGCAAAAAATCACTGTAAAACCCAGGGTTTTTTGAAGGTCGGCGGCCTATCTTGGGGCTATGTTGGCCCATCTTGGGGCTATGTTGGCCTATCTTGAGGGCAATGTGGGCCCATCTTGGGGCCATGTTGGCCCATCTTGGGGCTATGTTGGCCCATCTTGGGGCTAGGTTGGCCCATCTTGGGGATATCTTGGCCCATCTTGGGGGCTATGTTGGCCCCTCTTGAGGCTATGTTGGCCCATCTTGGGGCTATGTTGGCCCATCTCTTGGGGCTCATCTTGGGGGCTATGTTGCCCCATGCTGGGGCTATGTTCGCCCATCCTGAGGCCTATGTTGGCCCATGTTGACTCATCTCGAGCCACAAGATCCGAAAATTGAAAAAAATTGGGAAGAGCACAAAACACTGTGAAACGCAGGATATTTTGGCGACACGGGGTGGTCGGCGGCAGGGGCGGCCGCCCCTCTCTCCTATGGAGAGGAGAGAACTGCCGTACAGCAATGCCACGGCCCCCTGGCCGGATTTAAGCGCTTACGCGCGACAGCCGGCCAGGGGCCCAACTATGTGGGCCCATTTTGTGGCTATGTTGGCCTATGTTGGCCATGTTGGCCTATCTTGCGGGCAATGTGGGCCCATCTTGTGGCTATGTTGGCCTATGTTGGCCTCATGTTGATTCATGTTGAGCCAAAACACCCGAAAAATGGGAACAGCAAAAAACAAGGGGGGGCCTGAGAACCCAAAAGCAAAACGACAGCAAACAAATTTGAGTAATACTGATAATCGGTTTATTGTTTTTTCGCCTCTTGCCAGCTTCTTTTTAGAAGATGAACATTATGGACGCATTCACTGCAAATTTCATTTTTCCCCACCTGCCAGGTGAGGGTCGTTAGATTTTATCAGAGTTGTTCTCCTCGGCTAGCTGTCCTCCTCGTCCTCGTCCTCCGCCTTCTCCTCCTCCTCCTCTGCCTCCTCCTCCAGTTTCTCCTCGATCATGTCTGCATCAACTTCCACCTCAACTTCCGCCTTGCCAACTCTTCGCCAAGCTCTTTGCCAACTTCCCAGCTCAGTGTGCACCGCTGGACCTCAACCTGGGACCAAACCAGCTCAGTGGCGCTGGACCTCAACCTGGGACCTTCCCAGCTCAGTGTGCACCGCTGGACCTCAACCTGGGACCTTCCCAGCTCAGTGTGCACTGCTGGACCTCAACCTGGGACCAAGCCAGCTCAGTGGCACCGCTGGACCTCAACCCGGGACCTTCCCAGCTCAGTGTGCACCGCTGGACCTCAACCTGGGACCTTCCCAGCTCAGTGTGCACCGCTGGACCTCAACCTGGGACCTTCCCAGCTCAGTGTGCACTGCTGGACCTCAACGGCCAGATAGAATACCAGAAGATATGCCAGATAGAGTGTTAGATATGTCAGATAGAATGCCAGAAGATATGCCAGAACATATTGCAGAAGATATGCCAGGTAGAATGCCAGAAGATATGCCAGAAGATATGCTAGATAAAATGCCAGAAGATATGTCAGATAGAATGCCAGAAGATTTGCCAGTAACAAAACGTATAAATGTCATGGTGGGGATAACTCGAAGTAAAGAAATTTCAGCTCTGCGCAGCAACATTGAGTGACAGTGTGCAATAGCCAAGCAAGCTCATGTGAGCACGGTCATGCGACGGCGGCTGATTTCCAAATCAACCTCTCCTTTCCTTTCCCTTCCTTTCCCTTCCTTTCCCGTCCTTTCCCTTCCTTTCCCTTCCTTTTCCGTCCTTTCCCTTCCTTTCCCTTTCTTTCCCTTTCTTTCCCTTCCTTTCCCTTTCTTTCCGTTCCTTTCCCGTCCTTTCCATTCCTTTCCCTTCCTTTCCCTTCCTGTCCCTTCCGTTCCCTTCCTTTCCCTTTCTTTCCCGAATGCGTAGCAAGGGTTCCCGTTGCCTTTGGTTAGTAGGGGTAACTATGCCAAAATAGCTGATCTTTTCAGGTTAGTGAACTATTGTAATTTGCGCAGACGGCTAGTTTCCCATTGTATTCCCCATGTTTATTGGTTAAAGCTATAATTTCCCATTTTTGTTGGTTACTCTCCGGTTTAATTTCAAACCATCTCATTTCAGTGAAGATGTTTGAAATTTCCATATCCTATCTACTCCAGGATGACTATATATATATATATATTGCGGTTACATTACAAATTTGTGACCCTGTCGCACTCAGGTTTTGCAAAGCTTTGCCTGGCCAATGCTTTGGCTCAAGGCGACTCAAACTGAGATTGCCAAGGAAAACAAAGAGGTGTCATTGGGACGCGACTTTAGTTGTTGGAGCCCATAACATTGGGACGCAACTTTAGTTGTTGGAACCCATAACCACCTGGTTTGTAGCCTCCCGTAGGTTATGAGCCCAAACTGAGCTCTGCAATGGAGCGTCGTCAACGGTCATCTTCGAGGGCAAGGGACGCTGATGAGTTCCTAGCTACGGAGAACGAGACATCGGATGAAAGGTTGGATCAGTTGATCCAGGAGGAAGGAAGAGGAGAACCAGCTGTGAGGTCGGTGAGGATCTCTGCGAGGGCTGATGCTCCACCTGCTCGAGGAGAAGGTCAACCAACTGGAGATGAAACCCAAGAGACCGGAGCTGTAGTGCCAGCAGAGGGTACTGTGGCGATGGATGAGGGGAATCGAAGGTTGATGGAGGGCCTGTCGCCTGAGCAACAAGGCGTTCTAGCGAGGGCTGCTGAGGCTCTACGCGCTGGACAAGCCCTACAAATAGCGGATGGGGTGAGGCGACCTGAGTTCTTGCCGCCGCCGCTGCAACTGGGTGATGTATCTGTACTAGCAGGACATCAAGATGGAGCCGGAACTGCTCGAGCACCTGGTGGGGGTCAACTTGATTGTCGGCCTGGGGTACAAGGTGAGGGAGGTGGTGAACGAGACGATCAAAGAACCGGAGGATATGGTGGAAGCCTGTTGGGCCCTTTAGCTCTACCTCCTGCAGATCTTGTTCTACGACCTCTTGATCTACCACCTCAAGGTCAACCAGTCGCTCTTCAACCACTCGGGGGACATCGTCAACGTTCTGAACTTGCTCTACAAGATCCTGGTGTACAACGAGTAGAAGGACCGGAGGGTTTGATCAGACCACCACGTCCACCAGAAACCAATGTGTTTTGGAGTGAAAAGGTAAGGCGTGAGGTTGAAGGTGGGGTTCAAACTGGTCAAAATGGGGCTGGTCAACTAGCTCAACCGTCTGAAACAGCTCGACCCTCTGAAGCAGCTCAACGTGCTGGAGGGTTACCACATCAACATGGAGCTGGTCCTGGTGAAGGAGCACGAGCTTCTGTGGTGTTGCCGGATGGGTTGACTCATCGAGATCTCTTGGAACTGGAAGCCCTGCAGGCCCAGGCGTTGAAAAATGTTGAAAACCAAATCCAACAAGAAATAGCTAGGCGTAAGGCGGCGGCTGGGGGTAGTGGTTCGTATGGGACACCTCAAGGGGGGAGTAGGAATGATGAGGGGATGCAACAGCCCAATATCTCTACTCCACCAGGGTTACCTCAAACCACCTCAGTTGTGGGAAATCCCCCAACGGCTAGCGTGAAGAACGTTTTGGGGTTTGGACACACGCCATGTGGGTCACAGTTCAATCCACCTGGGATCCATGGCGACATGGGAATGCCAGTTGGTGCAGGAAGCTTGTCGTCAGGGTTGAGGGTTGATGGAGCTCAGCACCCTCCTGGGACCGCTGCGGCTCAATGGTCCCAAGACCCTCCTGGCCCGAGTGAGAGCCCTTAGATTGAACGCTGAACTGCCTACTCCCGTGCAGGAGAACATCGAGTACCCAGTGTCACTGGTATCTTCGCCAGGTTTTGCTGTGCTTGATTCTGGTTGTGGAAAAACAATTGTGGGAGCAAACACACTGTCAGCTTTCAGAAAGATTTGGAACGACTCTGGAATTGAACAACCTCAGCCATTGACTGAAGAGAACATGTTCCGTTTTGGGAACGGTGCAAGCGAGCTGTCAAAAGAATCCATTGAGATGCCGGTATGTTTAGCTGAACGTGCTGGAACAATTCGTGCAGCCATTGTGAAGGGAGATGCACCAAGAGGAATGAAAAGCATGTTTTCTGATGATTCAGCACGGGTAGGTACATATGACGCTTTCTATGGGTACGGTACGGTGGGTACAGTGGGTACGGTACGGTGGGTACGGTGGGTACGGTACGGTGGGTACGCTGGGTACGGTACGGGAGGTACGGTGGGTACGGTACGATGGTACGGTGGGTACGGTACGGTGGGTACGGTGGGTGCGACAAGTACGCTATGGATGCTCCTGCATGGTTCCACGCTTTTCTCCCCCACTTCTACGACTTCTCTCCACCTGTTTCGCAGTGTGCTGTGGGTGCTTTGAGCCGCATGAACCTGCACTTCTCTCCCATATACGCTCAAGGTGGTCTGGGCCACCTGAATCTAAACTTGTTTCCCTTGTCTCCCACTTGTCCCCCACTGTCTCTAAGTACGCCGTGGGTGCTCTGGGCCGCATAATTCTGCACTTGTATCGCACTTGTCTGTGGATGCTTTGGGCCGCATGGTTCTGCGTTTGTACCCCGCTTGTCTCCCACTTGTTTCTGACTCTGCGGGTGCTCCGGGCCACATGTGATTCTGCACTTGTCTCCCCCTTTTCTATCCTTTTCTCCCACACTTGTCGCCAGGTTGCCCACCGCTTGACTCCCACTGTCTCGAAGTACGCTGTGGGTGCTCTGGGCCGCATGAGTCTACACTTGTCTCCCGCGCAGTGGGTGCTTTGAGCAACCTGCACCTGTCTCCTAGTTGTCTCCCTCTCCCGGGCTCTGCGCTGGATCAACTCTCTCCAAGTTGGGTGCCTGGTTCTCCGCTTTCGAAGAAAGGTGTGGATGCTTTGGACCTCCTGATTCTAGACTTATCTCCCACTTGTCTCCCAGTGTGCTGTAGGTGCCCTGGGCCGGAATGACTCGCACTACGAGTGCTTTGGGCCCCATGATTCTGCAGTTGCCTCCCACTTGTCTCCCAGTATGCTGTGGATGCTCTGAGCTGCATGGTTCTACACTTGTCACCCACTTGTCCCCCGCTTGTCTCCGACTGTCTTGCCGTATGCTTTGGGTTCTCTGGGCCGCCTGATTCTACACTTGTTTCCCGCTTGTTTCCCACTGTTTCCCAGCATGCTGTGGGCGCTCTGCGCAACATGTCTCTACACTTGGTGACGGGCCAAAAAATTAAGCGCTACAAAGCAGAGTTTATATACATATATATATATATATATATATATATTATATTTGTGTTTAGCGTGAGCATTATCCATCTAATTATTGGGGTGCCCGATTTTGACCTATACGCGCTTGTCTCCTGTTTGTCTTTGACTGTCGCCAAGTACAGTGTTGGTGCTCTCTGGTCAGCATGACTAACGCTTCCGCTCGTCCCCCACGGTTTCCAAGTGTGCTGTATGATCTTGGCCGCTGGGCTTGCACTTTCCAGATGTCTTGTCTATGCTCTGGGCCTCTGGGCCGCGTGGCTCCACACTTGCCTACCCTTTGTCTTGCAGATCCGGCTGATTCCAGACTTGCCTGCCTGTCTCCAACTTGGCTCCCAGCTGTTTCCCATCTGCAAATGCTCTCTGGATGCTTTGGGCTGCACTTGCTTCCCACTTGTCTACCAACATCTCCCAGTATGCTGTGGATGCTCTGAGCTGCATGGTTCTACGCTTGCCCCCCACTTGTCTCCAACTAACTGGGCCCCCCTGTGTCTGCAAGAGTATTGTGGGTGTTTTGGGCCGCACAATTAATTCTACACTTATGTCCCCCTTGTCTCCCACTTGTCTCCGACTGTCTCCCAGTATGCGGTGGGTGCTCTGCACTTTTCCCGGACTGTCTCCACGGATACTTTGGATGTTCTGTGCCGCATGAACCTACGCTTGTCTCCCCCTTGTCTCTCCTACTGTCTCCAAATAAGTTGTGGGTGCTCTGGGCTGCAGGAAGCTACACTTGTTTCCCTCTTGTCTTCTACTGTCTCACAGTACGCTGTAGTGTGGGTGCTTTGGGCTACTTTGTATTTTCGTTTGTTTCCTGCTTGTCTCCCAGTATGCCATGCTGCGCGATTTCAGAAGCAGTTTATTGTCGGGTTCGTTGGTGCATCATTGGGGTGGTAGGAGCGTGCCTTCCACTTGTTTCCACGCGTTTCCCATTTGCTTCCCAAGTTTGTTCCTGTGATTTTGTTCTTTGGGACCGCAGACTTTAATTTGCTACTACTTGTCTCCCACTTGTCTACCGCTTCTTTTTCCTGTCTGCGGAGGACTTGGGATCCGAATATTTCCTTTACTGTATCTCCTACTTGTCTCTCATTTGTCGTTTGCTTCTCTCTCTGTGCCGTCCTTAAAGTGGAAAACATGATTTGTCTACCGCTGAACCCCACCTTTCTCCCACTTCCGTCTCTGTGCTGCGGCCTTTGGTCTCCTGTTTGCCTTCCAATTTCTTTGATTATTTCCTTTCTTACATGTATATCGTCTCATGGCAGGCACCAATTCGGCGCCTGATGTTTCCTTCTTCTGTTTGGGCTCAGCGCTGTATAACTTTTGTTACTTGTTACTTGTTGCTGGCGGGATGGAATGTATGGTTCCGAGCAGCTTTTGTGGTTGCATTTCTCCCTTGCTTTGTCTCCTACTTCTGATTTATGCCCTTCCATCTTTTATCATTTCCTTAAACTTGTATCCTTACGTAGTTGCACCCCATCAACACCCCATCTTTGCAACATGGGCGGAAAGGATGGTCGTGATTTCTTGCAATGCAACGCCGATTGACTTCTACGTTGCCTCTTTAGAACGCCCGAGAAAAAAATTCTTGGTAAGGAGCCTTTCCCTTAACATTTCATCTCCAGCGTGTGTTTGGCTGCTAGGTGGAAGCGTCGCCTGTTCAGGGGAGGTCGGGCAAGGTCCTGTTAACTAGTGTCCTGCCTTTTGCATTCCTCTTCGTTTAGTTTGCTTACTGGGGCCGGTTAGGCAGAAAGAGGGAAGAGAGACAGGCTGAGACAGGTTTTGTTTTTCCACACCTGCCAGTGAGGGTCTCCAGATTTTAACAAAGGTACAACTCCTCCTCCTCCTTCTCCTCATCTCCGCCCTTGCTGTGCCTTGTGACCCGAACCTCACCGCCAGCCCCGAAGGCTGCGGAGCACGCCTGGACCCGAACCCCATGTCGCGAGCTCCGAATGCTGGCACGCCTGGAGCCGAACACCGTATTGCAAGGTCCGGATGCTGTGGGCACGCCTGGGCCCGAACTCCATACCGCCAGCTCCGGACCCTGTGGACGAGCACGACTGGACCCGAACACATGTGAGATAGAATGCCAGAAAGATTGCCAGATAGAATGCCAAAACATATGTCAGACAGAATGCCAGAAAGAATGTCAGATAGACTGTCAGAATATATGTCAGGTATTCCAGGTAGAATGTCAGAATATATGTCAGGTAAAATGCCAGGTAGAATGTCAGCATAGATGCCAGAGATAATGCCAAAATGAATGCCTTAAAAATGCAGGAAAGAATGCCAGAATATATACCAAAAGTATGTCAGCATGGATGCCAGATAGATAGAGTGCCGGATAGACTGTCAGAAAAAATGCCAGATAGATTGCCAGGTAGAATGCCAGATAGAATGTCAGAATATATGTCAGATAGAATGCCAAGTAGAATGTCAGATTAGATGTCAGGTAGAATGCCAGATAGAATTCAGATAGAATGTGACATAGAATGCCAGATAGAATGTCAAACAGAACGTTAGAATATATGTCAGGTAGAGTGCCAGAAGGAAAGTCAGAATAATATGTCAGGGTGGGGATCACTTGAAGTAAAGTAATTCTTATTATCGTTTGTTTTTGCTGGGGTGGTACGTCTAGCCCTTTAGGGAAGGCTTCTCTCAGTTACCTTCTTCCCCTTTCCGTGTTCGTGCAGTGCATCTACTACAGTTGTCTTTTGTTGCAGGTGTGGAAGGGTTGGCCCCAAAAGTTCATTGAAATAAGATGCCTTCTCTCATAGCAGCTGAGGTGGAAGGGCTGGCCCGACTATCCTCTCCAATCTTCCGTTTTACATTTCATC